AGCTGTTGCCGAGACCGTGCTTACTACATATAGATGACAGGCAACCGAGACGCGCACGTGCTTTCCGGGGAGATCAACTTTTTTTGGGAATGCGGACGTTTCTGACACCGGTCCACTCGGATCGGGGATTGTCCACAAACCCAACGGCAGGTAACGCGTACAAATGACCCCATTCCCAACGGAGTAAAACAATTCTTCGTTCACGGGTTATAATGCCGTCGTTACGAGTGAGACAGTGTTCGAGAAACCAGATGTCAACTGTTGGCGATCGATGATCACGTACAGGGGACTTCCCAGTACCTCAGTCTCCGGACTTCAGTCGGTCTTCGGACCATAAGGGGCCCACACGATCGACGTCTCAGCACAGATGCAATAGCCCGGCCGACCAACAGCCGGCGTTAACATTGACTTATCCACGTGCGATTATAATGAGAGTCACTAGTGCATATGTCTTCTGTTCCCCAGATACCCAGGATGAGGAGGACTTACATTAAGTCTATTTCTGATTAGCCGCAAGAGATGTGTAAGGGCCTGACAGAGAGAGGTCAGTCGATCGGCGGAGCAATGTGATCGCGTACCGACAGACTGCGGCAGTTGGGAGAGGATGCTAAGCCCGTGGAAAAACTCCACCTCAGGAGACGAGGCAAAGGCGCTAACGCTGTCTTCGATCAACCTAAAAAGGGCAAAAAAGAGAAGTCATACAATGACATTCACTTCCATTTATAATACTCTGCTTTTGGCCAGTTGCGGGAGGCAGTTAATAAGCCGGCTGGGCCGACACTCGACCTTTAAAATAGACGAAAATCATTTTTTAAGCGGCGTTCTTCCGTTTATTCTGATTGAATGGCGGAAAACGAAATTTTCATTCTGCCTTGGATTTACAATCCAAGGTTGTGATATGGATAGTCAATGAAGTCGAAAACGACCATGCTAGCTCCTCTCGTTTTGTTGGTGATACTTTTAGGTAATTGTAGGTATCTGTGCGACATAGAGATCGGATATCTAAAGCAAATGAGACACCTGACTTCAGCCCTGCAATATGTACAGATGGGTAGACGCTAAGCCTGTGTGACTTGGAGTATTTTCAAACTACAGCCGATAGGGCGCAGGTGTGGTTCGAGGGTCAAGTACGCCCGCATTCAGACCTCAGGTCAGCCCGGCATGGATTTTACATACAGCCAGTTTCTGGTGGCAAATAAGACACAAATTACAAATCCAGTCCCCCTATCTCTCTGGACAATAGTTCTGGATTAAGCTGAACATGCATTCTTGTTGTAATAAGCCTAGTAACTAACAGGGGCGTCAAACGCCCGCCGACTCTGATGGAAGCGGCTAATTTGCAACATGGAGCCGACTGAACGATGTATGATGGACATTTTCCCATGATCAAAACTTAGAAGATGAGGCGAGTTCCAGAAGACGATGCAACTAGTTTCAGAGAAAGATGCAAGATGCCGTAGAAGTTCGGATAATTCAATAAAGTATCCAGTACACGAAGGTCTTCCAGCTTTCTGGAAGCAACTGTCTATAAAAGTTTAACCTAGTGTCTAAATGCATTTCAGTGCCTACGGAGACTTTTAATCACTGAAGATGACAGAGAATGGCACAAGCTACACAGGCGTGAAGTATAAAAATTAATAAAACAGCGACTGAAAAGTTCTTTTCTAGGTAGATACGCGATGTCATCGGTAAATTAGGCACTGCTAATACCCCAAAGAGGGAGACTGTTCACTCAATTATCAACTGAATGTCTAACCGCCCTCACCTGTTTA